AAAAAAAATAGCCACAAGGATCCTGCCAACCAGACGGTAGACCTCGTAGTAAAGCTCAAAAGAGTATAACATGGTCATGGGCAGGTACCAGTGGAACAGCATAGAGAATCTGGAAACAAATACAAATGCATATAGGTCCTTAATATATAACTGAGATCACATTTAAAGTCAAAGCCATCAAGGGGCGTCTGGGGGGCTCAGTCGGTTAAGCGTCCGACTTCAGCTCAGGTCACCATCTCGCGGTCAGGTCATGATCTCAGGGTCATGAGATCGAGCCCGTGTCAGGCTTTGCTCTAGGCTTGGAGCCTGCTTGAGATTCCCTCTCTCCTTCTCCCTCTGCCTCTTTCTCTCCCCTCAAAAAAAAAAAAAAAAAAAAAAAAAAAAAAAAAATTGACTTTCACATTATTTCAGACTTCCAGAAAAGTTGCAAGGATAGAAGAAAGAATTCTTGGATACTTTCTACCCAGATTTGCCAACTGTCAACATTTTGCTACAGAAACATATGCATATTTCTAATCTATTTAAGAGTATGCTGGAGGGGCGCCTGGGTGGCTCCGTTGGTTAAGCATCTGACTCTCGATTTCAGCTCAGGTCATGATCTCGTGGTTCACGAGATCAAGCCCCACATCGGGCTCTGCGCTTGGCGTGGAACCTGCTTTAGATTCTCTCTCTCCCTCTGCCTCCTCTCCCCCGACTCGTACTCTCTCTCAAAAAATAAAAAAATAAAATAAAATAAAATTGCAAAATAGAAGTATGCTGCAGACATGATGCCTCTTTATTTGTAAACACATCAGTGTGTTGTCTCCCAAATATGAGGAAATCTCTTATATAACTACAGGACAATTATAAAAGTCAACGAATTAACACAGATCAATACTACTATATAATCCATGGACTTAATTCACATTTCATCAAATGTCCAACATGGTCTCATTTTTTGGAAAAAAATATATATAAAGGGAGGGCATTGGAGAAACACTTATGTATATGTCTACATGTTTGTATGAGCCTAGGAAAGGTTTGAAAGAATATCTATCCTTTTAATGTGGGTTGAGTATTTGCCACAAGGCGCAGGTATTACTTTTGTAATATATTAATGTAGAAACTGGGGCGCCTGGGTGGCTCAGTCGGTTAAGCGTCCGAACTCCGCTCAGGTCATGATCTCACGGTCCGTGAGTTCGAGCCCCACGTCGGGCTCTGGGCTGATGGCTCAGAGCCTGGAGGCTGCTTCCAATTCTGTCTCTCTCTCTCTCTGCCCCTCCCCCGTTCATGCTCTGTCTCTCTCTGTCTCAAAAATAAATGTTAAAAAAAAAATAAACATTAAAAAAATGTTTTAAAAACGATCCCTGTAAATCTGCTGAAATATCTCATGTGTTCCCACCTTCTCCTCTGTGCCACACCATTCTGCTTGGAATGCCCTTTCCTGGAAGGGTCACCATCCTTTCATCCTTCAAGGCCCAATCTAGATGCCACCTCCTCCAGAAACACTCCCCTGATTACCAAAAGTGAGCCGTTTCTGCAGATGTTCAATGGCTACCCCGTGCCCACAGTACTGTGGCTTGCTTTGCACTGGCGTTGTTCATAGGAATAACGATGATGGCAATGGAACCCCAGGGGAGCGTGGTGGGTGGCCCTAGGGAGAGGCCTTCCTTGCTCATCAAAGGATGCCATGCCTATTTGCTGGTTCTTTCTTGTGTGATGCCTGGAACTGCCATCTTGAAACCGTAAGGGAAGACCCTACCTGCACACCGAAAATAGCAAAGTGGCAAGAAGGGTTAGCTCGGGTCATCGTACCAGCTCTGGAAGCATCCTGACACAACGATGAAGGCCTGAAAGGCCTCACTTCTTGATCATAGGGTTTGAATCCCACCAAAGGGGATCCTTTTTATTTGATTTGATTTTTTTTTCTAATTAAAAAAAAATTTTTTTTAACGTTTATTTATTTTCGAGACAGAGAGACCGAGCATGAAAGGGGGAGGGGCAGAGAGAGAGGGAGACACAGAATCGGAAACAGGCTCCAGGCTCTGAGCCGTCAGCCCAGAGCCCGACGCGGGGCTCGAACTCACGGACCATGAGATCGTGACCTGAGCCGAAGTCGGACGCTTAACCGACCGAGCCACCCAGGCGCCCCTATTTTATTTTTTTGAAGTAAGCCCAATGTGGGGCTTGAGCTCCCAACCAGCCTTGAGATCAAGCATCACATGCTCTACTGGCTGCACCAGCCAGGTATCCCTGGAGATCCTTTGTATATTTCCACCTCCAACAAATATACAGGAGGCATTCTATGAATATTACTTGTCTGAGTCATTCATTTGACCCAAATCAGCAGAAGTATATTGAATACCTATCACATGCCACACTCTAGCTACGGGCTCCCTGGGAATAAAATCCAAAATCATTGTAATATATGCCCTGACTGTCTCTCCCATAAGACTTTACCTTATCTCTCACTCCTCCCAAAAAAGCACTCTTTGCTCCCCTAACAAAACCACTAGCAACTTCCAAAGCGCACATGCTCTCTGTCTTCACATACATTTCCTCCCTATTCCTTT